GRCTGCAAAKCCGAATGTTCCCTTGTTGAATTCCGGTGTCTCCTGTCCCGACCGTTCTTGTYTATCTCCCCCATCTCCCTCTCKTTCTCTCTGAATGACGYTGTGTTATGAGTTTGTATCTCTCTCCTGAATCGAAGTAARCCCTCGTGATTCCCCGTAAAGAAGAACTTCTTCCGGAACTCTTCCAATAGTTTCCTGGGTAATCCCCGGATACAAGGAACTCAATCACCTTGTCTTGTGAACGGTGGATGCGTGTGTACAATCCCCCGATTCATCTTTGACGTGTGCATTATTGTCATTTTCGCACCTTCCACAGTGGATGTATGTATAGAGATGCTTGTATTTTTGCGTTGATTAGACCCAGAGCTCAACGGGATTTTGTTCAAGAATGCAAGAGTGTTTAGATTTGTCGTTCCAAACGCACTGCGCATGCCATCTGCCTTATGCTGCATGACATCAACAGATAGTCTGTGGGGCAGTCTCGAAAAAAACTAGGCGCCCTGTGTTTTGTTGATCTGGTCTGCCGAAAACTGAGTCGCGGGTTGATCCCTCGGAACTTCAACTCATGTTTGTGCGGGTTCCGTAGGATGCTTCTCTCGTGTCTAAAGGAAAGAAGGTACTAATTAGTCCTTTTTCTGCTTTTTGATGACGTCTCGAGGATTTGTGCAAACTCTGTTGGATTGATTGATATGTGGACTAATGGCTGCTCCTCGATCGGGCGACAACCTTCTGTATCTCCCTTGCCAACGCGCCCCTTCCCTTATAGCGAGGAAAGGACACGTGTATGCGAGTGGGACGTACGGGAAGCTGTCGCACGCATCGGCGGACAATACTACTTCCCTACTGAAAATCGTTGTTCCGGGTTCGTGGATGCGGGCTTTGTCATTATCGATATGCAATTTCCACCCTACTCAGTATTGTTGCCATTTAACGAGTTGATCGTCATTCCGTGGACGGCAGTGGCGCCCCATTGGCCTCGAACCCTGTGCACTGAATGCCAGCGTTTCGATCACTACGAATCAAAGGGTTTCCACTATCGGATACGGAGTGAAGACGAGCACAAGGAAAGAGCCACGCGGCTGAGACCATTCACGTCAGACTCGGAACTGACCAACGAGCGACGTCGGGACTTGATACGGAAACGGGATACGCGGAGGGTGCCGAAGCCCTTCCGCTCTAAACGAAGATCCGTAGCGCGGTGGGAAGCTCGACAATACTTTTTGGATTGAATTTGGATTTTTTTCTTTTCGCGTGGTGTCCGCGCGCGCATTCCGCGGCGCGCAAAAGCAACCGACTTACTTCATCGGGCCAACACGGGGGGATTTCAGTTCTGTCTGTGTCCCCACACTCAATTTTCCAACAATCCTTGGCACACACCATCTTGCTGTCTTTCTGGGCCTTCATTCCGTACCTTTAGCACTCCGAGCGAAAGATAGCACAGGGCGTGAGGTTGGTATCGGAGCTGACACGTGTCGGTTCTGATGATAGTAAGTCGAGCTGGCGAGAGGTAGAAGGAGTCCTCAACCTGCTCGTCGAGATCGCCCAGTGACCAGATCTAGATCGGGTGCGGCTAGACCAGTTATGCCAATGGGTGACGGTAACGGAGCTCCTCCCGGGGTAATTGTTAGTATTCCCACCCCTTTTCCTTTCTTTCCTAATCACACCCACCCCAAAGCTTAGTTGGAAGTCGTCGAAGCTCAAGGGTATGGCACAGGAGATCTCCCCCTCGTTCTCACCTTGCTGCTTCGCAACACAGCACATGATTGGTTTAGGAAACACACATGGGTAGACTGAAACACCTTTAAGCAAGCCTTCCTGGCTAGATTTGACACGGTTAGCGAGGACGCCGCCTGGTATGTGCTCAAGACTCGATTGCAAGGACCAGGGGAATTGCTGCTTGACTTCGTGGATCGATTCCAAACTACGTTAGATAAGTCAGGGCGAGATGAAAAGTCCGCCTGAGACTTGTTCATTGATCATCTACGAAGTCTGACATTAAAAGGTAAGCTGCAGAAAAAGGCCCCCCCTAAAACACACCGGCTACCCGCTATCATCGCTAAAGCATTTGAGTTAGATCTGGCGGATAACAAAAAATATATAAGTAAGGGAGACGAAGACATTATGGATACGATTCAGGATGTAGCAGCGAAACGACGATCGTGGTTGCGAGCGGTGGAACGTTTCTATCCCCGGCCTGATCATGACGTTCCCGAAGGGGCTGCCTCTGATATCCCGTCAGTTCCTTCTCCCCCAACCCTCTCAATGAATCAACAGGTAGCAGCTGTTAAACCCAGAAGCTCCCAAGATTCCTCCCCTATGGCCATAACAAACATGCACTTGGCACTGATGATCCATACGGCTACCACCAAGTAATCTGAATGGATGAGCAATCTGGTCCAAATGCAGGCGGCTCACATGGATCGAATGGAACAGATAATGAGCAGACTAATTAAGCCCAACCCGGCCCTTGCTCGACCTGCCCCTGCATCGTTCCCGCTCTTGCCTGCGCCACCTGCACCCGGACATGCACAGCCGTTCCCTCACGTAACCAACGTGGCAGGGAAAATCGAGTGTTACAATTGCAAACAGCCCGGGCATTTTGCCCGGGACTGTCTGCAGCCGAGACGAAATCAACCCCCACCTGCTGCAGCCCCCGTAGCCTTGAATCAAGGACGAATGGCCGCACTAATGGATACGGCCCGAAATGAGGAGATCGTTGTGTACGCCCCTGAGCTCCCTTCCCCCTCAATGACAGTTGCATCGACCTCGGGAATTTCTTCTTTCGACGCTGTTGACGTGGTCGATCCGCTCGAATACCGTCATCTCGCCGGAATGATCAGAGCAATCCGACCAGCTCAGGACGATCTTGAATGGGTAGAACGCGAATCTAACCTCGACCCACAGTTTCGGACGGGCGAAATCGATGTCCTACGAACGCTTAAGCAGTTGGACATTCGTGTTCCGGTCCCAGTGGGGCATTTGCTAACCATATCCGAAGCAACGAATGACAAGCTGCTACAACAATGTCAGAAGAATCAAAAGCGTTGTACGTACCAGCACATACAACGGATGCTGAAAAAGAAGAAGGAAGAAGGAGCGGAGAATGTTCCATCGCCTGAACCCGAAGCTGGTGAACCCGAAGCAGCGCGAGTAGCTGCAATTTCTTTAGCAGAGAAATATCACTTCGTGAGAGCTCGACCAGTGCTGTGGAAAAAAGTTGAATGTGGTTGCGAAATATGGGGCAAACCTTTTAACGCCCTCATCGATACCGGCTCCTCTGCGGTCGCCATATCATTAGACACCGTAAAGAGAACGGGGCGAATCAATTCGATTCTCCCTCAATCTGGCAAAGACCATTACGTCTCTGCCGACGAGGAAGCAATGAATATTGTAGGAATCATCGAGAATGTGGCTGTGAAAGTTGGACGAGTACACGTCCTCGTTAACGCTTTAGTCATAGATGTGCACTCATATTCGGTATTGTTAGGACTGCCTTGGGCAATGGCGGTAGGTGCCCGCCTGCATTTCGATTCCAAACAGTTAGTTCTCACACAAATAGGAGGAAAGCCTCAGATAGTTCCGTTGCGGGTTTCAACCCGAACAGTAAAACAAAATCCTAACCCTGCTCGGATAGGGATGATTCAAGATCCCGATCACGAGGAACCTTCATCCCCGGATAACAGTAGCGGATTTCGAAGAACAGGAGTGCGAGGAAGAGATGCCTAGCGAGAGTGAATGGAAACACTTGGTCGAACTTTTTGAGCACGAAACCCCCGAGGAGTTTCGGATGGTTCCCAGAGCCGTCCGAACCTTCCACTTGAGTTTGGAAGACAGCGCGCTCGCCTGTGTGTCCATTCAACTCGCAACGGGATTTATTCAACTCCGTTGAACCCGTTGAACGACCTTGAGACCCGAGTTGAATACCCGTTGAACGGTATAACGGGGGCTTCCCGTTGAGTTCTGATCAACGGGTCGAGCCCAATGGGGCTCGGATACGTGGCGGGACACATGTGGAAAAAACAAAAAGAAAAAAAAAAAAGTTGAAAAACTACCCTCTGTGTGTGTGTGTGTTCATGTGTGTGTATGTGTGTGTGTATGTGTGTGTGTGTGTGTGCGTGTGTGTGTGTGTGTGCGTGTGTGTGT